CGTCTTTAAGGGCATGGAAGGCAATGAGGACATGCTCCTCAGGGGCTATCTTTTGGAGGTGAACGTAAGAGTTCACGTTCGCCCCTGAGTTATTGAAGTTCTCCTTCTTCCCACTGTAGGAATTAGGAAACTTCATCTTAGCAGGCTCTTTACGGGGACGAACTTCCTCCTCCCTTGGAGCAGCAAGTTTTGCGCCTTCTATAGCGCCGGTACAAAACCGCTCCGTATTTGCTAACCTCGCCTTCACCTCCTTCGTTCTCAACTTTTCTTCCTCCTCCTTTTTCACCCTTTCTAACTTTTTGCGGCCTGCTCCTGCAATAAGGCCAACTTCTTGGCCGCTTTACTACTTCCCTCTTTTCTTTCTTGGCCTTTTGCTCGGTCAGAATCCTCGCAGCCTCCTCCTCCTGTTCCTTGGTGTAGGAAGTGGTGCTAACACCACCCCTGGTCTCTACTCTACACGCGAAGGTGTGCCAGAATCCCAAGGGAAAGAGGAGACGCCAGAGGGTCTCCCAGAGGGAGAACCCCACGAGCAAGCCGTACATAGGGTAATCATCCATGGTGTTGGGTGCACGACAATGACTGTCCCACTCCTCACCGCTTAGACCTACCCACTGGACTGATTGACTGTCTAAGGACCACAAAATCCATATAGGACCATGTCAACTATGGTCACTAGCCTGAACCTAATACTACAACTGTCACTAGAGGACTCAATGTTGATCAGAAGGCATTTAAGGAGATCCCCCATAACTCCTCAGGAATTATTTAACATCGCAGACAGGACGACGCGATCAACAAGTCCTCTCAAGACTTAGACAGCGTGTTGTGCAAGCCACAACTCGGATTTTGGGCCTACCATGCCACACTGAGCACCCCGCCGGTCTATACCAGTCCTTGGGACGGTTTGTCCTCTGGGTCAGTCAGTCGTCAGACACGGCCTTTAACCCTACTATGCCCATGTGGGTTTGGTCAACAAAGCTCTTCGACCTCGTACACAGAGCTCCTATCACCTGGACAGAAGAGACTCAATGCAGAAAGAAGAGACAAACAGACTCAGCAAGTACCATGGGGTGAGTGCACATCCATAGGGCGAGGGGATAGGCTGAAGACTTGGCGAGAATATACCAACACCAGCTTGGTCAAATTTGTGGTCAACAGCTCCGGTCAACGCTGGTCAACTTGTCGTTCAACACCTTGGTCAACCCCTCAATCAACACTTCAGTCAACCCCGGTCAACTTCCTGGTCAATGCCTTGGTCAACCCTGGTCAACTCCTCGGTCAATGCTTTGGTCAACCCCAGTCAACTACCCGGTCAACGCCTTAGTCAACGCTCAACTCGGCTATGGCTGCCGACCCCTTGTGTCCCTTCAACCTGCACTTCGCCTTCTCCCTCCTTCCTTCTTTCTTGCTTTCTTCATCCTTCACACCGGCTATGTCTTTCTTCTCCTTTGTCGTCCCTCCTTCCTCTTCCTCGGCTATGGCTTCTTTCTCCTCCTTCGTCTCTCCCTCCTCCTTACTCGCTCTTCTTTCTTTCTCTTTTACTCCGTGTCCGAGCTCGGCGGCTATGGCCGACACCTCCTGTCTTGGGCCGCACAACCAATCTTGTATCGCTCCTCTCTCTCTCTCTCTCTCTCTCTCTCTCTCTCTCTCTCTCTCTCTCTCTCTCTCTCTTCCTCGTGTTTCTTTGCAGGTGCGCGATGACTTTCTCCGCAGCGCAGCTATGGCGGACCTTCTTTCTTGACGGTGCCAGCTTCAACCGTGGCGCCCAACTTCAGCGCACCGCTGAACGACAACGGTGCATGGAATAGTGGGAACCAGCTCCGATACCAATGCAATCAGACTCGCTTCTTCTTTCTTCATATGCATCCAAACAGATGGCAATTCACACTGCCGCTGTGCGGCCACACAAAGCTCAGAGATAATCAAGCCGAGAACACAGTTCAGATGCAAACTCGCTTCCAACCGGCTATGGCGCCTGAGCGCCCACACATCCTCTGTCCGACACTGTGTTCGCCCTACTGTTCCCTGGATATCCCACACACACACACACTGTATCACACACACACGTACATACACACAATCACTACCTATCGCTAGCTATGGCGGCTATGGCCGTTATCTACCTCTACTACTTGCAGCGATGGCTGCACTATCTCCGCCTCAGCCCACTTCGACTTCGGGCAATCTGCAGACCACCTCGCACAAGACGCTAGGGCAGCGCTTCCGCATGGCTCACGCAGGAATGAATGAATAGCTGGACGCTGCCTCTTGATTTATACTTCTGTAGGCCGCTGGTCTGCCTCTTTCCACCGGGCCCACGGTGCACACAGTCCCGCATGGTACTTGCTGACTGGACAAAGTAAGACTGGGACTGGGTACTGCTGACTAGACAAAGTTGGACTGCCTACTTGCTCACATGCCTCTGGCCAAACGTAGAAACTCTCGAAAGGCCACTTCCGGACCTTTTGGAAGTTTGCGGACTTGGCCTTTCGGGACTGTAGCAGCTACGACCTTGACCTTCCAGGACTGTAGCAGCTACGACCTTGACCTTTCAGAAGTACAACAACTTTGACCCCTATGCAGGTATGACCCCTACTTCGACAGGTCTATGGTTGAATACCCGACAACTACTCAGACCTACGACAGGCAACTTTCAACTACTAACACACAGGTCACGGATTCAAGATTCACAGGGTCGACTTGATACTGTACACAGGTAAGGTAAGGTAAGGTAAGGTAAGGTAAGGTCTGGGTATCAACCCCTGGGATCCGCATCTGTGGCTGCAAAAGGTGAAAACCTTTTCACTTGTCTCTCCTTCTTCGTCCCTCCTTTCTCTTCTTCGGCTATGGCTTCTCTTTCCTCTTCGTCTCTCCCTCCTCGTTTACTCAGTCTTCTTTCTCCTTCGTTTACTCCGTGTCCGAGCTTGGCGGCTATGGTCGCGACTTACTTCCTTGAACCGCACAACAAATCTTGTCTCTCTCTCTCTCTCTCTCTCTCTCTCTCTCTCTCTCTCTCTCTCTCTCTCTCTCTCTCTCTCTCTCTCTCTCTCTCTCTC